GAGGCCGAAGCAGGTGGATCACTTGAGGTCAGGAGTTCAAGACCAGACTGGCCAACATGGTGAAACCCCGTCTCTACAAAAATATAAAAATTAACCAGGCATGGTGATGTGCACCTGTAATCCCAGGTGCTCAGGAGGCTGAGGCAGGAGAATCACTTGAAACCAGAAGGCGGACATTGCAGTGAGCCAAGATGGAGCCACTGTACTCGTCTCAGTGATAGAGCGAGACTCCGTCTCAAAAATATATACATATCAAGATCTTTAGCCCTATGTTTTCTACATAATACATCAAGATAAATTTCACCAGGTTCATGGGACTGGCAGGCTTACTTGACCTGATTTGACACTTTTTTCCTAAACCTTGTTAAGTCTAACCTCAAAATCTACTAAAGTTTTGTATATATAAAGTTGTTTATCTTACCTGATCTGTCATTAAGACCTTGTTGAAGGAGCATTACTCTCTGAGCAATGGACATAGCTCTCATATGAACCTTTTCAGCTAAAACCTTAAAAATAATTTATAAAGATGGTCATTAACCTCAACACAATTTACAGATTTCATAAGAACATCACCATCTTAGAAAATTACCCAGGATCTCCAACATTAATACCTGGTAACACACTTAATACAGTAAGATTCTACCTAAATCACCTGTGTTCTCCATAAAACCTCAATTGAAGAAATTATTACATGCCAAGTATTTTTCAAAGGCACTTTAAGAAAATGGCTTCTTGTCCCTTAAGAATATGCCAACACAAGACACTGAACTTATTTACCTGATAAGCCAGCTTTCTGACAGCCTCTTTCACATCCTTGGTGCGCCCTACAATTTTTGGCAAAGTCTTTGCTGATGGTGCAATACATGATAACACTGCCCGTCTAACTTCTGGATTTGAATCATTTTCAATCAAAGTAGCATATGCTAAAAATAAAGCAATACATTTTGGTACTGAAGAAATTATTTATTTAACTATAGTCATAAAATAACACACATTTTGATATTTTAAAATGCCTTTAATATGATAAAGATAGGCTGGGCACGATGGCTAATGCCTATAACCAGCACTTGGGAGGCCAAGGTAGGTGAAGAGCTTGAAGCCAAGAGTTCAAGACCAGCCTGGGCAATATAGCAAGACCCCTGTCTCTACCAAATAATTTTGAAATAAAAATTAGCTAGGCATAGTAGTGGCGATTCCAGTTACTTAGGGGGCTGAGGTGGAAGGATCACTTAAGCCAAGGAGTTTGAGGCCGCACCTCTTCTATCCGGCCTGAGTGAGAACCCATCTATAAGAGAAATAATGTCTTTTTTTTAGCCTTACACATTAAGCTTTTTTCCCACCAACTTCCTTCTCGCTATGTTGCCCAGGTTGGAGCCAAAGTGCTGAGATTACAGGCCTGAGTCACTGCTGCACAGGTCACGAACTTCCCTTCTAAAGACACAAGGGGGAATTAGTCAACGGACTGGCTCTAAGGCCAAAAGTGAAAGCAAATAGCCCTAACAGTCATGGTAAATTAATCATAAAGATTATGTCTGTGCTACTCCTCAGTATTTAAGAGAAAGCTTAATATAGCAGTTTATTTTAAACTGATAATGGCTTTATAAGGGCCCATTATTTTGGTTTTTTAATGAGACCTAAAAGGAAATATTTTTTGGTTTTATTCATTGAAACAAACTCATTTCTTATATTTAAATATGTTTATCTGTACTTCTCACATCTTTCCCACTCAATTATTAAGTACATGTTGACTATCAAATATCTATGTTTAGTTGATGGGTGCAGCACACCAACATGGCACAAGTATACATATGTAACAAACCTGCACGTTATGCACATGTACCCTAGAACTTAAAGTATAATAATAATAAAAAAAAATTTAAAAAAAAATAGAGCAGCTACCTTTTCAAAAAAAAAAAAACAAATATCTATGTTTTACACAATATTATTATGGGTATATTTTAACAGCAAAAAAAATACCAACTACTATAGTGATAAATATACCAGTGATAATGGCAGAGATTTATATTTTTGACATAAGAATTTCTGTTCAAAAAAAAAGATATCCCAAAGGGAGTGAAACAATGATACCCCAATGAGCCACCTAAAGCAGAAAGAGATATACAATTCATATGACCCAAGGATTTCTTTTCAAAATATATAAAGAACGCAAATGAAATTTTTTAAATAGTATTTTAAATTAAAAACCCAATGAAAAAATGGGCAAAACACAGTAACAGGTATTATATAGAAATATAACTGGCTGCTAAATATATACATACAGCATGATTTACACAAAATGATAGGAAAACATTAAGATAGACATATGTGATTTATGTAAAAAATTTTTTTTTAATTTAAGCAAGAGACTAATTAACCCAAAACTGAGGATAATAGTTACTTCTGAGGGACAGGGATGCAGCTGGGATAGGATGCAAGTACTGATTATTTTTTTTAAGCAGGGTGGTTGCTACTTACGTGTTTTTTTTTTTTTATCTGAATCATATATTAATTACTGATACTCTTCATATGTATAGACCATAATAAAAAGTTTCAAATACTGAGAATTTAACAAAATCAACAAATCTGAAAAAGATTTAGGAAACTACACACACCATTAACCACTGGGCATTCATCATCTTTGGGATCCTGAAGTCGTGAAAGCGCCAGAACTGCCTGTATTCTCACATTTGGAATCTTATCTTTCAATCTAATAAGCATGGCTTTATTAATTTTATCAAACACATCATCATCAATCTGAGCATTTTCTGGCATACTTCCCAAAAGCTTGTTTATGAGCTGGCACACTCTAAATCTCACTGCATTGCTGTTTGCTTCATGAGACTAAAACAGAAACAAATCAAAACTTATTCATAGTCACATACCACTCCCAAATAATCAATATTATCTGAACTCTATATATTCAGAATGCAAGAAGTTACAACAACAATTCATTTCCTGAAGAGAACTTATAATGCTACCTTGGTCCATATGTATAGCAAATATATATTTTATACAGTCTCAAACTAAACAGTCTGAAAGAAGTCTTTGCTAAGTTACATAGTCCTCTGTGTAGCAGCTTCTAAAATACAGAACTCATTTAAAATAAACATAGGAGAACTGGTTTAAAGAGGTCATTAAAAATTTAATGTTGGAGTTAAAGTCCACTTTTTAATCATAATGATAATTCTAATATTTCCCATAAAACGTAGACTCATTCAGATTTTTTAAATCACTAGATATTTCATTGTCAAAAACATACAAACTCCCACGACTCTAAGTGGCAAAATTTTCTAAAATCCCTCCCCAAAGCTATCATTTTCATAGTACCTTTAAGAGAAAAGTAAACAAATAATTTAAAAGGCCACCATCTTCCTCTTCCTCATCATCTTCCATATCCGATTGGTGAAATGAGGTAACAAACTTTGCTGCAAATTCTATTACCCTCTCCACAGCTGGTTCACGTTTATAGACCACCATAACATATTTAAGGTAATGTATGAACTCCTCATGAAAAACTGTTTTATCATCCATCTGAAAGACAAAAGAAACCCTTCATAAACTGCACCGACAGAAATCCTTTATTCCCAACATCACCCTAAGACTTCTGAAAGCACTAGCCATAATAATGCAGACAAATTAAAATCTTTATTTAGTAAACTCTTAATTATCCAAACCAGCAAAAGGGCAATCAATTTGCATGAATTTCTCTCCAGGCTATAATGGGAGTACACGAGCTTGACTTTTGACAGTAAAAAGATTCCTTTGATTGTTTTTTTCAATACCTTTGAATTCTCAATAAGCCTTTAGTACATTACAAATACGCTTCTTCATCAACAACCCAAAATCAATACTGCCTTTTATATTTCTCATATTCAGGTCTTCCTATCTCTTCCTATCACCAGCAGCTTCTTTATGAGATAACCTGCACATCCTATCTCATATCCTCAAAGTCCTGCGATGTTTACTTACAATTTTTCTTGGACCTCAAGATAATTCAGCTTCCCCAAATTAATTGTTCTAGTCTTCTCAAGGTTCCACTCAAAACAAACAAATAGTAACGTACATAAATAAGAATGGCCAGGCCCTAACGATTAATTTGGTATTTGGTGATTGGATTCAATGTAACCGTGGGACGAGGGTAGAATCATTTGACGGTCGGCGGGGAACGATGACCCCAGGGGCAACGACCACCGAACCCCCGCATTCAGGATCCACTCTGCGGTTCAATATTTGATGTCTGATAGCCTCGGTGGTTGTAAATGCTTCTCTCCACGTTCACAATCAGATTAAGGAATAACGGTCCACGCCGCCCAGAGGCTGGGGGTGTCGGCTCAGAAAAGCCAAGGCGGGGCCCGTGTGAATGACGCCCAGACTTCCGAGTCTTTCTGGCCTGGGCGCAGGCGACCTCGGGTAAATCCCTGACTTCTCCGAACCTCAGGTGGTCCCTATGAAGTGAGTCGCGAAGGTGAACAAGGCTGGAGTCACGGTGCGCCGAGCCCGAGGGCCACGGAGGGCCCCTGAGGGAGGGCGGGCCGGGGCGGGCGAGGGGCGGCGGCCAGGGCCGGGCGCGCTTACCGTGCGGTAGGTGCGGCTCAGCGCCACCACCAGCTTCGCCTGGTTCTGGTGCGGATGCTGCGCCAGCCGAAAGGCCTCCTTAATCGACAGCAGCCTCTTTTCCGCTCCCATGGCTCTGGAACCCTGCCGGGACGAGTCCTGCCCGCGCTCGGCTACAGCCTGCCCGCAAGCCAACCCAGAGGCAGAGCTCTCCGCAGTCTTCTCGGACAGCCCCGGGAGTCTTTACCGCCCGAACGTTCAAATAATTGCCGCGAGAGGGGAAAATCCCGCGAGACTGCCGCAAGCGCTCTGGGAGGAGAGAGCGGGAAGCGATGGGTCCACCCATCTCACACCCTGCGCTTTGGGCGCATGCGTCTAGGTTCAACCTTGTCCAACAGTTTTCACGGAGGGAAGTGGCGTTTTTAAGGGGGAGGGACCTTGACTCGGCCGGAAGTAGTGTCGGCGCGGGAGCGGAGTGGAGTGGCCTAGCCGCGGGAGGGGAAGGGTTGCTAGTGTTAGGCCTAGCTGGGTAGTGCGGTTGAGCGTGAGGCGAGAAAGAAGAAGCGATCCTCCAAGGGTGAGAACGGGAGATCTGCCGAAGATAACAACCTCCCTTGTGGCCAAAGGGCGGGGGATCCCCACACGAGGGCTCCGTTTCGAGAGACGGCGACAAAGGAAAGTTCGTAGCGCGTTCCGGAGGCCCGGCCGCGTCTGAGAAGGGAGAAGCTGCTGGGTCCGCGAAGCTGGGCGACCCGAGGTTAGTGGAGACGGATGCGGTCTTTTGAAGGCCTTAGTCCCTGCCCTGGTGAAGCCGACTGCGAGGTTCCGCAGGGCGTGCAGGCGGCCCGGGGATCGCTGCGAAGGGGGTGCGGGCTAACTTAGCTATTGCCGTTTGTAGATATGCAGCTGTCGAGGCCCTGTTTACAAGCGGGCATAAGGACAGTGTATTAAGGGAGAACTCAAGAGAATGGAAAGGTCTTTCGGGTATTGGTTAAAATAAAGAAGAGTAGAAACTAGGTTTTTAAATTTTAAATGAAATTATATCAGGCAGAATTTCTGTTGGATCTCAGGATGCACCATCCAAAAATAAGACTGTAGGAGAACAGAATATGCCACCCTACAGTATACTTCTAGGGTATATTTTGAGCTGGTATTCTGATAAAATGCAGACACAGGAGTCACTCTGAAAATCTGTCCTGTTGTAAAAGAAATTTACATCTACAGAGGAAATATACATCAGTAAAGCATCTGTATCACGAAGAGGGCAGCTCTGCGATAATTTTTGTTACCTGGGAGATTTTATCTGCATATCAAGACAACTTTTATTCACCGTTTATTTCCTCCCCTCACGTTTCCACAACTTTGTGGCCAACCATCCCCCAGAAAGCCGCAAACCACCATTTCTTGAGTAGCGTAGGATGCTGTATAATCTTCAATCATCTGACCATGGTGGGACTCCTCTGCATGTGTAGTTAAGTACGGGTTTTTTTTCTTGTTAATGTTTATGTCAAGTTAATTTGTAACCCAGCCAAAGAACCTGGGAGGATGGAGGGAAGCCGTTTTTCCCTCTCCTACACCTCAGTAACCTACTGCCAGCTGAAGAAATAGAACATTACTAAAGCCACCTGTACATCTTTCTCGTTTTGAATTACCTTCACTCCGAAGAAGTAATGGATTTTCTTAATTTACTGTTAACTTTTACCATGCAGATTTTTATATATTAATGACACATTTTTTTATGTTAATGACTAAATAAATCCCTGAATGAGGATATTGTACTATTTTGCATGTTTTAACCATTAAATGAATAATTATATGTGCCTCTGGCTTTTTTCAATCAATATTGCTGTGGTTCATATTGATATATTAATAATAGTAACTTGCACGTGATTGACCTTTATCATTCTAAGCCCTTTACTTTGTTTATTGCTCACAAACCCTGTAGGATAACTTTGATCTTCTTTTAAGATGAGGAAACTGCGACACAGACAGGTTGCTATAGTACTCCATTGTATTAATATGCCATACCTTATCCATTCTCCTGCTTAATTCCTCAAACTTTATAGATATTCAACTGCTAGTTAAGATAAGAATGTGGTAACATTTGTGTTGCCCATAATTTTGCTTTGTGACGTTTCTAATATTTATCTTTATTTTTATTTTGAGACAGAGTCTTGCTCTGTCGCCCAGGCTGGAGTGCAATGGCGCAATCTTGGCTCACTGCAACCTCTGCCTCCCCAGGTTCAAGTAATTCTCCTGCCTCAGTCTCCCAAGTAGCTGGGTTACAGGCGTTCACCACCACGCCTGGCTACTTTTTTGTATTTTTAATAGAGACGGGTTTCTCCATGTTGGCCAGGCTGGTCTCAAACTCCTGACCTCAGGTGATCCACCCGCCTTTGCCTCCCAAAGTGTTGGAATTACAGGCGTGAGCCAGCTAGTATTTCTTTATTGTATTCAACTTGGCTGTCTCACCAACAGAGACATCACACCATTTTGTCAGTTACGGAAGAATGAGACATCTGGCCACCAGAGGTCAGCCTAACTATATTTTGGTTAGGTTTGTTTTTGTTGTTTTTTTTTCAATGGTTAAAGCCATGTGGGGAGGGGTTCAGTATTTTTTGATATTATAATCTGAAAATATTTTTTTAAAGATGCTAGATTAAATTTAAACAACATAGTATACTGCCTTAAAGCTTACATGTTTCCTAACTTCCGTACTGTGAAACAGAACAAAAACAATTATGGGAAAGTAAGAGCCTTTTTAAAAATTTTCTGAGTAACATAATAACTGAAGTATAGCCAATTAGTAATCTCACAGGTGCAATCTGGTTGAAGTCAAAATAGCAAAAATATTAGAGGACAGCGCAATTAAAAGCCAACAGCTTCTCCTGTCTCAGTTAATAAAGACTGAGTTGTGCTAATAAGGTCATATGGTATGGCTTCAGGTCAGCAATTTTCCTCTAATGAGTATTTCTCTGGCTTTCACACACTCCTAGCACAGTATTATAGTATTATAAACTAAGAAGTATTACATTGTTTCTTCTTAAAGGTATAAGCAGTTTCCTTTATATTGCTGTAGTAGCATCATATGTTGATCTTGCCTTAAAAAATTATCTCATTTGTCTTTGTCTAACATTACCAAATCACCAAGCTATAACTTGGGAACTGTTCTCTCCCTGGAGTAAAATAGAACTTGCTTGTGGTAGTTACTTACTGCAAGCCTTTGCCATTCTCTGATTGTTTCAGATACATTTACTGAGCCACTCATATATGCCAGACACTGTGCTAGGAGTGTGTGAAAGCCAGAGAAATACTCATTAGAGGAAAATTGCTCACCTGAAGCCATACCATATGACCTTATTAGCACAACTCAGTGTATTCGATAATGAAAATGTCCACTGACTTTAATTTTGGAAATGCCCCGTACAGAGTAGCATAAACGACACATTGATACTGTTTCTTTTCTCATGTAAAGCTATGCCTTTAAAGGCCACCCATGTTGCTATATATACTTGGAATGTGTTTCCACCACATTTTACCAGTCCGCTTCTCTAGGGATAGGAACCTGGAATGCTTCTAATTCCTGTCATCACAGATGTAGCTTCAGGGTATATCTTCATACATGTTCTTACAGGAATTTATTTGCTATCTATGCCCAAAAGTAGGATTGCTAGATCATGAGATGTGCAAATAGTTTGCCTAAGTAGTGCTGCCAGCCTGTTAATGTGATCATACTGTTCATGCTTTGGGATTTTCTCTTCTATAATTTGGATGTCTTTGTCCTTTGCTCGTTTCTTTATTGAAGTTGCTATCTTTCTTAAAAATTGATTTAACTTTGTCCTTGGTATCTTTAGTTCAGTCCAGAAATGATTAATTGTGATGTTATTAAATTCATTTTTTGGTCTGGTGCTTTATGCTTTTTTGTTTAAGAAGTCTTTCCCTGGCCTCATTTCACAAAGATATTCTGTATTATATTTAACTAACTGTATGGTTTTACCATCCCCATTTAGATCTTTGATCCATCATGAATCCTCCCTTATACATGTCATTATATGTATAGGTATTACATGGTTTTGCTTTTCTTTTTTTTTCTTAACCTTGTTCTTAATTTTTTGTTAATTCTTGTTCCAATAGTTTTACTTTTTTTTAATATAGTGAGCCAGTTGTACCAATATTATGTACTAAACATATCCATTCACCCTTAGTTTATGTACCAACCTTATTTTATATTACATTCCCAAATTATATATAACTCTGTTTCTAAGCTCTTTTCTGCTCTTTTGGACTATTGTCTGTTCTTACACTAATGCTACCCTATTTTAATTTCTGTGACGTTAGTCATAGTACATACCTTGAAGAATAGGAACTCCCTTACTCTTCTGTTTAAACAGTTCATTTGGCTATATGTGGAATTTTATTCTTTCTATATAACCTTTATATAGAGTTCCTTAAAATTTTGATTGGAATTGTATAAATTAATAGGGAGAAAGTTGATATCTTTATGATATTTGTTCCATCCAAGAGCATGGAATGTCTGTATTTTAAATTATCTTCTATATTGTTTATTAGATCTTATATATTAATGATTAGTTCCTAGGTTCTTTATAGGATTAGGTTTTTGTTGTTTGTTTTTCCTTCTGTGAAATGTCTTTATATATGGTCTAGTTAGTATTGCTAGTATAAAAGTTAACAGTGCCTGAGTTGAAACACTAGCCCTGTGACTTACTAGATGAATGACTTTGGTCACGTAACTTAATCCACAGGTAAGATGGGGACAATAAAAGTACCACCTTTTACGGTTGTTAGAAGAATTTTAAAATAGTTAACATTTGTGCAGTTACTAGAGTAGTACATGGCAAATAATAAGTGTTATATAAGTAATTAAATTAATGGATATTCATAGGTTAATCTCAGATCAGGAAACTTGTTGAACTCTGTTTTTTTTTAATTAGATGATAATCATCTGTAAACTAATAGTTTTATCTCTTCTAATTCTTAACGTATCTTTTTCCAAAAAGAAAAACATTGATTAGGACTTTCCGTCCTGTGTCAGACAGTATCAGTCTCAGTCAACATGGTCATCTTTAGCTAATTTCACTTTGTTGTTGTTGTTGTTGTTGTTGTTGAGAAGAGTCTCATTCTGTCACCCAGACTAGAGTACAGCAGTGTGATCATAGCTCACCACGCAGCCTCCAACTCCTGGGCTCAAGCAATCCTCCTGCCTCAGCCTCCCAAGTAGCTAGAACTAAAGGCACACACCACCATACCTGGCTAAATTTTTTTGTAGAGACAGGGTCTTGCTATGTTGCCCAGGCTGGTCTTGAACTCCTGACCTCAAGTGGTCCTCCACCCTTGGCCTCCCAAAATGCTAGGATTACAAGCATGAGTCACTGTGCCCTGCCCCTGACTTCACTTTTAAAGGAAATGTATCTCATCTTATTCAGGATAATGTTTGCTTAAAGATTTTGGTAGATAACCTTTACCAAGTTAAGAAAGTTACATTCTCCTTCTAGTTTAGTAAAAATGTTTTGTTTTGTCTTTTAAAGCATAAATACATGTTGGTCAGGAACTAACAAAGGTTATCCACATTCAATATAATGATCTCTTTTTTTCCTTTAGTTGTGGTAATTTGTACATTTTTTATAATTTGAGCTATTCTTACTTTCCTGGGATAGGCTGTATTTGATAATATTCTTTTTAATGTACTGTTGGATTCTGTTAAGTGATATTTAGGATTTTGCAAGTGAAGTGAGCCTATACTTTTCTTGTTTGGTTCATCTCTAAGTTTGGAATTTATTTTTGTTATCTTTATAAAAGGAACTGGTCAGTTTTCATGCTTTTTTCTTTTTTGTGGAACAGCTTATATAGAATTGGTCATAGGATCACAACTTCTGAGGTCCCAGCAAGAGTCCTAACATCTAGCAGCTCTACCACCAGGACAGGCCCCCTAAAACTAATTCCAACAAGCACCTCTGAAGGTAAAAAAAATAAAATAAAAATAAATAAATACCTTTTAGAGCTCTCTATTTGGAGTTTGGGACATAAGGGATCAGCTTTTGCAAAAGTAATTTTCTGGGCTAAAACTGCATACAAACTGGCCCAGTTTTGTACCAACAAAGAATTAAAATGGCCCCAGACTTTCCTCCCCAATATTGTGATTGTAAGAGCTATTACCAACAGGTAAATTGGCCTAAGCCTATGAGATAGAGAGGGAAGAGTCTGTAAGACTTCTTGCTCAGCATTTGTTCTGATTTTAGATATCCTGAGGTTAGGTAGGCAATAATGTTATCCAGTGCTTTCAGGATTTAATATCATGTCTCTAGTCTTCTCATTCACAGGTTAAGGCTACCTTTCCAGATAGTCCAACAGCTAAATCACCAGTTTCCAAGGGCATTTACGTCACCTATGGAAAGCATCGGATCCTCTTACACCAGATGTTCTTGACAGCTCATCCCATCAGTCCCCACTGCACAAAAGTTGCTATACCAGCGGACAACCAAGACAACTACTGAGCTTCTTTTCGTTGTCAAGTAGATATAATATCACTGCCAGCAAAACAGCACAAAAAGTGTCTCTTCACAGTACCACTACCAATTGGGACTATGCTAAGTAAATCAGCTTGCCTAGATGAGGACCCCTTGTATTCTTGGGTAGCCAGGATTTGAAGGAGATACTCTGACCTGTGCCACTGGTAAGTGACTAAATACTTTTACACACTGAACTGGTCCTGAAAACTAAGATGTCTTCTTTGTAAGTGAAGAATATACAACATAATCTTGAAGAACAGCACAGTGGTGTGGGCCGCAAGCATACTCTATGTGCATAATGGACTGAAAGACAAATTAATCTTGGCGAAAGGATTTTTCATCTCTTATTTCTATTTGCCAGTGTTAGTAAGTGTTCTGCTGGCTTTAGATTATTACCTTTTTCTGGTTCCTTACTCTGTTTCATTCAGATGGGTCCTAGAAATCCCTCTCCTGACCACTTGTCAGATTCAGAAAGTGAGGAAGAAGAAAACATTAGCTACCTAAATGAGAGTTCTGGGGAAGAGTGGGATTCCTCTGAAGAAGAGGACTCCATGGTACCCAACTTATCGCCTCTTGAGAGTCTTGCCTGGCAGGTTAAGTGCCTTTTAAAATATTCCACAACTTGGAAACCTTTAAATCCTAATTCCTGGTTGTATCATGCTAAACTCTTGGATCCAAGCACACCAGTCCATATACTTCGAGAGATAGGTCTAAGACTCTCCCATTGTTCCCACTGTGTCCCCAAACTGGAACCAATTCCTGAATGGCCCCCTCTGGCCTCTTGTGGAGTCCCACCTTTTCAAAAGCCTCTTACAAGTCCCAGCCGGCTCTCTAGAGATCATGCCACTCTAAATGGAGCACTGCAATTTGCCACCAAACAGCTAAGCCGAACATTGAGTAGAGCCACTCCCATACCTGAATACCTAAAACAGATCCCTAATTCTTGTGTTTCTGGGTGTTGCTGTGGCTGGCTGACTAAAACAGTTAAGGAAACAACTCGTACTGAACCCATCAACACTACTTATTCTTACACTGACTTCCAAAAGGCAGTTAACAAACTCCTAACTGCATCACTGTAAAGATCTACCATTTGCTGTGATATCTCTGATGTTGCGAACTGAGGAAGGGGTACAAAGTTAGTCATTACACAGCCCACTAATGTCTTCTCAGTCAAACTATCTTATGCCCTGGCAAGCCAAAGAGGATAGCCTTTGACAAACCCTGTGGATAAAATGATAATATCAAGGCCAGGCGTGGTGGCTCACGCCTGTAATCCCAACACTTTAGGAGGCTGAGGTGGGTGGATCTTCTGAGGTCGGAAGTTTGAGACTAGCCTTGCCAACACAGCGAAATCCCGTCTACTAAAAATAGAAAAAAAAAATCAGCTGGGCGCAGCAGTGCATGCCTGTAATCCCAGCTACTCGGGAGGCTGAAACAGGAGAATCACTTGAATCAGGGAGGCAGAGGTTGCGGTGAGTCAAGATTATGCCACTGCACTCCAACCTGGGTGACAGAGCAAGACTCAGTCTCAAAACAACAACAACAAATACCAATGGAGAATTAGTTAAGGGGACCATGTTACAAAAGCTAGTTGAATATTCTTCACACTCACTTCTCACCCTACCCATCCCAATTTATTCTGCCTTTCTGAATGGCTTTAATGAGATATCTGATTATTAATGAAGAAAAGTAGACCACCACCCCTTTTATTATCCAGACTTCAGAACAGCCATTATTGAAAGCTAGAAGTTAGCTACCCACAGTAATACCTTTCTGAGCATACCCTTCTCTAACATGCATTTCTATGGAGGTAGTTGAATTAAATTGAGTAACTACACAAAGGGAAATGGCAGGGATGGGGATTTCTTTCCCAGCTTTTATATAGATGTGCCTACATAGGACACTCTTTAGGGTTCCTTTTATTTTTTCTTTTTTTGGCAGGGGGCTGGGAGCGGCAGGGAGGAGTACAATTTTAAGCTTAGCCTGTACTACTCCAAACTTACTATGGCACTTACAATTACATCATGAACGTTCTATATCAGTCTCCCACCAGGCTGTCTCTGGCTAAATCAGCCTATAAGATCATCCCTTGGGATTAAAGAAACACCTGTTCTGTAGAGAATATGTTTCCTGAATCTTGGTACTCAGACTTTTGTCAAGAGTAAATAAAATACCTTTCAAAAGATTAATGGAAATTGATTAAGAGAGCATTTCTGCTTTCAGTATTAACTGCTAATGGATTAAAATTTTAGTCTGTATAGCATTTCCTGGAGTAAAAGTTCAAGTACTTTCCACATCCATTGCAAACGTCAGGAACCCCTCTAATTTTAAAGAACCTTCTTATTAGAAAATCTCAGCCTAATACAATCTGAAGTTAAGAGTTTCAGCAGCATTGTTTTTCTAAGTAGATTTAGCTATAGATTTTCTTTTGGCCAAACAAGGAAGAGTATATGCCCTTGTAAATGAGGCTTGTTTTTTTTATTTAAATGAGTCAAAACATAGAAATCAGTATACATAAAATAAAATGCATGAGACTATTAAATCTTTTCATACACTCTACAAATAAAATGAAATCTGTGTGGTCCTGGTAGACTGGGCATCTAAAGGGAATCAGAAAAGAGATTGTGAAAAGTGTATGTGTGTGTGTATATATATATATACATATATATATATATCCTCTTATTTTAGTTTTGCTTTTTCCTATTCTCCATAATTAAGTGCTGTTTACAAGGTGGCATCAAAAAATTGAAGCAGGCCAGGCACGGTGGCTCACACCTGTAATCCCAACACTTTGGGAGGCTGAGGCAGGTGGATCACTTGAGATCAGGAGTTCGTGACCAGCCTGGCCAACATGGTGAAAACCCATCTCTACTAAAAATACAAAAATTAGCCGGGCGTAGTGGCGTGCACCTGTAATCAACAGCTACTTGGGAGGCTGAGGCAGGAGAATTGCTTGAACCTGGGAGGTGGAGGTTGCAATGAGCCGAGATCGCGCCACTGCATTCTAGCCTGGGCAACAGCAAGACACCGTCTCAAGGAAAAAAAAAAAAAAGGCAGTTAGGAATCATAAATTATGTAAATATATAGCAATTTTAAGAAGAGAGAATGCTTATAACCTAATGAATATTTCTGCTGAGCCTTAGTTGTCTAAAGGAAAAAAAGAGGGAATTGTAGATAAAAGTATTTGTTAGTGGAAATTATTGACCTGAAACCATATCATATTGTTAGTGTAACTGAATGTATCAGAAATTGTTCCTATGTAGATATTCTGTGAAACTGGTTTCTAAAATGTTACAGGAAACTCTTTCCTTTTTTTTTTTTTTTTTGTTTAAGGGGAGGTGGGAGGAGGTAGGCAAGAGGTCTGAATATTAACCTATGTTGATGTTTATGTGTTCATAATATGTTCTTTTTTCTCTCTTGGTGTGTGTATAAAAGTGCCTTGCTCATGAATGCATTTTTGCTCTTCACTTCGAAAGGAAGCCTTTCCACAGCTTGGCAGCTGAATAAACCAATAGCTTTGTACATGTTGAACAGCGTATAGTCATTTGTCCTCAACAAATGAAATAGATCCTACTTTTCTTAAGACATACTCAACATTCACTAAGTACCGAATAGAGTTAATAGACACAGTACCTGAATCTATATAGTACGTCTGACAGGAGATGACTTGACGTCTCTAGAGAAGAAACGCACTTGAAGAAGAAAATGTCTGATATTCAGTCAAGATTCAAAGTGAGCTTATTTGTTTATATATTTTAAGTAATTCCAGGTTGCACAAAATAACAGGTACCTAAATAAGCCTTAAGTTAACTTTTTGTGTGGCATAAACACTGGGTTTGGAAATGAATTTACTACCTTTGCACTCACTATGTTGGCTTCTGGTTAAATGCAGTCACCATAATTAGGATAAAAAGTTGAATTTATCCTCTCTTTATAGAAATATTTATCAAAGGAGTAAGGAAATTATTTCTAAACCAGTGGACATTAACTGTCTTTTACTTTCTCAGTGCAGATAGGCAACTTTTTTTTTCTTCTTCTTTCTTTCTTTCTTTTTTGAGACAGTTTTGCTCTTGCTGCCCAGGCTGGAGTGCAATGGCACAATCTTGGCTCACCGTAACCTCCACCTCCCGGGTTCAAGCAATTCTTCTTAGCTTCCCAAGTAGCTGGGATTATAGGCATGTGTCACCACACCCGGCTAATTTTGTATTTTTAGTAGAGACAGGGTTTCTCAATTGGTCAAGCTGGTCTCTAACTCCTGACTTCAGGTGATCTACCTGCCTCAGCCTCCCAGAGTGCTGGGATTACAGGTGTGAGCCACCGCACCTAGCCATAGGCAACATTTTTATTAAAACAGTTCAGATACCTTGAGCCTCAAAGACCATAATCAGGTCTTTTAATCCCATCTGCTTCCTAAGCAAAGGAAAAAATCCATACATGCATGGCAGGAGGGCATATGATATGTCTCCTCTGGGGGATAGAAGCCCTTCCTGCTGGGCCTTCTATCACACCTGTCCATATAAAAATTAAAAAAAAAAAAAGTCTGATGAAAATGTTTTGATATTAGTGTAAATAGCTAAAGCATTTAAAGACTTTAGAAGTCACCTGGGTTATTTTCTTACGCGTAAGTTGGCTTGCATCTGGCTTTCTACTTTTGGCTCCAGTGTTAAAGAACATGTCTTTTGGAGCAGACTGTTAGTTTTAAATATCTCTTGTTAGAAATTTAGCCATTCATCCAATATTGCTATGGAGAAGTGCCTACTCTAGTACAGACACTGGGAATGTAAAACTAAATAAGATTACTACACATAGGAAATTAGTTTTAAAATATATGAACCTATCTATTACCCCAAGCCATTTCTGCTATCTAGGGTCATACTAAATAAACCTAAACCCTAATCCATATGTTGGCCCTTCACATATTGAAAATAGCTTATAGTGGAGAATCATAAAAGAATTGAATGGAGCAGCCATCCACATGTAATGAAGATTCATGTGGAGGACACACTTCAATTAAACCCCCACAATGATACTAACCCAAGGAAATGGAGAAAATATATAGATACTTTGTACAAAGATTTAAATTATATCTGCTAATCACAAGGCAGTGGCACAAAGATCAGGGCCAAAAGTGTTTTGCTCAGGTAGCTAGGATATATAGAACAGCCTAAGAAATCTGGATAGCTTCGCAGACTTCATGAGATAACTGCAAGCTGGTAACATACCTGTCCACCAGTGATATCTATTGAACTGAGGGAGTTACATTCTCTGGACCAACCACCAGTGCTTCTATGTCAACTTGCTGCTGCTAAAAGAAAAATCTCTATGCTGTGTCTCAAATAATTTTAAATAAAGTCGAGTTAATGACTACATATTTGAGTCTGCTAATCATGCAGTTTACCAAGCTCTTCCTTTCAATTAGCAGCAGCAGTGAGACTTATTGTAAAAGTTTGCAACTGAGACCAAGAAATGGAAAGGATGAGGATATACCACAGTGACCTGACACTTGCTGGCTTCCCATCTTCTGTGAGAGCTATGACCAGCTCTTCTCAATGAGATGTGGAAAATGAATGCCTGGTTTTCATTTTTTATTTATGTTTTTGACACAGGGTTTCACTCTTGCCTAAGCTGGAGTGCAGGGGCATGATCTTGGCTCACCGCAGCCTCGACCTCCCAGGCTCAAGCGATCCACCTTAACTTCATTGGTAGCTGTGGACTACAGGTGCACACCACCACACAGGCCAATTTTTGTATTTCTTTGTAGACGCAGTTTCACTCAGGCTGGTCGGGAACTCCTGAGCTCAAGCGATCCTCCCACCTCAGCCTCCCAGAGTGTTGGTGTTACACTGGTACCTGGTTTAAAAAAAAAAAAAAAAAAATGGAGTATAACAGTGTAACAACAGGAAGACAGCTATAGGGTTATTGCCTCTAAACTATGGAGGCAGTTAAAAATGTTAACAGCAGTTTCAAGTTGAATCATAAAACAGGAATTTGACTGGAATTTGGGCAGTTCATTTGGGAAAACATGATTCTGACATGACACGTGATATGAAAATTCCTGGGATCATTAGGGGAGTTAGGCTGTATACAACAATAATCATTCAGAAGGGACTCAGGATACTGGTTAGCCTAACAAAATTAAAACTAACTTCCTAGTATACACAGCAACCAAGCTAGTTTATCAAATTAGCAACAAACCAGATGAAACTCCTAAAATGAGTGTTGCAGTTAACAAGGAGCTGGTACTATAGTTTTATTTGGGGGGAAATTGTTAAGTTTGGGTTAACTGCTCGCCTATGCCTAATTCACCCTTCCATCTGTGGTATCAGCTGTGGGACCTGACACTCCAGTGTAACAGCTGATGGTTTTGGTTTACAATAAATTAAGCAATGGACCAGTAGGTGCAACTTCCTTTGAGAGGTACCCAAACAAGTGGAACAGCCCAAGGGTATGGCCATCTTCCATCAAAAAAGACCCTAGATGGGCTTTATGGTTGCACCTTGAGTAACCAGATTGTCCTGATAGAGTGGCAGAGCT